CCCGCGGTTGTAAACAACTCACAGGCATGGTGTCTCCCGGCCGGAAGTGCCCGAGCGCCAACGAACACTTGGGGCCGGGGCAGCGCGTCGGAGGTCACAGCTCGACTTCCGCCGGGTTGTCTCTATGGTGCGCGTGGCGCCGGAACCCCCGCAACAGGCGTCTCCACGAGGCGCGCCCTGCACAGCTGCGGCGTTAACGCCGAGGAACGACAACGCGTTAAGCGCGCGGGGACTCCTAGGGCTGCAGCGTGTGGCTGGTAGGAGCATCTCCACTCCTGTCTGATGTTCACAGTCCAGCGCCTACACACGTGGCTCGGCTCTGACCAGACGCCTCGCCACTTGGCTCCGTTTACTGTCCTCGTCCTTATCAGCCCGGAGCAGCTGGCTCCGATTCCTGCTTTGTCACCCGGCCAGGCTTTTGCTTTCAAACGTCGCCTGTTAATCACTAGGTTGCAAATAACAATGTACTAACCGGTTGGCTCTGTTCTTGGAGGAGGATTATAACGCCCTTCTAGCAGAATAGTGATAGAAATGTAGCCGTGTTAGTCTGGGGTAGCTGAAGCAAAATGCAGGACAATGTAGCACTTTAAAGACTAACAAGATGGTTTATTAGATGATGAGCTTTCGTGGGCCAGACCCACTTCCTCAGATCAAGTCTTTAAAGACGAGTCTTTAAAGTGCTACATTGTCCTGCATTTTGCTTCAGCTACCCCAGACTAACACGGCTACATCTCTATCACTATTCGTTATACAGAACAGTCCAAAGAAATGACAAAAGGGTTTGAAATATCCCCAACACTGCTATTCCCTTCTTCTAATTTTTCACTTGCAAGGATACTCTAGTTCCTTACGAAGCTTTTTGAGTTAGGCTACGTCGACACTGGCATGATTTTCCGAAAATGCGTTTAACGGAAAAGTTTTCCGTTCAACGCATTTTCGGAAAAGCACGTCTAGATTGGCAGGATGCTTTTCCGCAAAAACACTTTTTGCGAAAAAGCGTCCGTGGCCAATCTAGACATGCTTTTCCGCAAGAAAGCCCCGATCGCCATTGTCGCGATCGGGGCTTTTTTGCAGAAAACAGTACTGTGCTGTTTACACTGGCCCTCTTGCGCAAATGATTTGCGCAAGAGGGCTTTTGCCCGAATGGGAGCAATACAGTATTTCCGCAAGAGCACTGACAATCTTACATGAGATTGTCAGTGTTCTTGCGGAAATTCAAGCGGCCAGTGTAGACAGCTGGCAAGTTTTTTGCGGAAAAACTTGCCAGTCTAGACACAGCCTTAGAGTTTACATTAAAAATAGTCACATTCATCTGACGAAGTGGGTCTTTGCCCACAAAAGCTTATGGTCCAATAAATCTGTTAGTCTATAAGGTGCCACAGGACTCCTTGTCACTTTTGCAGATCCAGACTAACATGGCTACCCCTCTGATATTAAAAATAGAGGCTTTTAGGAAAAGAGGCATTGCTGCATGATCCAAAACAGGATACCACCACTATGGCTGACCTGGTTCTCAGTATTGAATTTATTTGGAGCTTTATTTTGTAGTGTTTGTTGCTTACTGTATGAAAATGTGAGAGTGCCTGCCACTGTCAGGTTGGTCCTAAATGTCTCCATGAATCCCTCTATGCACCCCATTAAAAGCAAAGATTACAGCTTCAATTCAAGTGTTAATAAAAATACAAGTTTATTTTGTTACAGAAAGAGAGAACAGGAAATTAAAGATATTGAACATCCACTTTTGACGTAGTGGGGGCGTGCTGTCTGCTCTATAACCCAGTGTGGTATGGTGGTGCCTTGCTGGTTGCTGGGCTTGGGTAGTGGGTGTCCTCCACTGGTGGCTATTTGTAGCTCGGCCCAACAGGACAGCAGATGAGTCACCAGGCAAGGGTCTCACAACCTGTCCGACAGGTTGCCTCCCAGGGAGAAAGACAAAGGGAGGAAGGCAGAGACCAACCTCTGTCTGGGGGGCAGGGCTGGAAGAGAGTCAGTTTCTGTCTGGTATCATGGAGGAAGCAGCCTAAGCAAGGGGCTGGGATTTAGGGGCCCAGTCTCCCCCATCTCAAGGGGGGCTGAGGAGTCCTAGGCCTGCCCTGTAACCAGATTACATCTATGCTGTGCTGTATCCTGGAGAAGCAATAAACTCCCTCTATTCTACTGGCTGGTGGAGTCTGTTTGTGTTATTACGGGGGTGCAGGAGTTGGGGGAACCACGACGTGCCGTCACACAACTATGTAAAGAAATAACTATTGAATGATTCCTGAAGATGGACTGGAAACATCAAGACCCAGTATAGTAGCAGTTATGTTTAGAAAAAGGTGATTGGAAACTTTTGTTGTCTAACAGATGAAGCTGAACTTCTCCAGTCATATGCATCATGGTGTCCTTTTGTTGCACTATCCCTTTTTGCACTGAATCTTTCTCTGTTGCAGGTTGCAAGGCAGAACCTGAGTATCCTGATTACCCCGTGTTCACACTCATTTCTGCTCTATTAGCTGCTGGCTGGACCTAGGATGTTTTTCTGGGTTTTGATTCCTGATATTAGACGAGATGGATTTGTATTAGACAATACCTTGATGTTACACAGATTACAGTATCATTTTCCTGGGGTTGGTCTGCACCAATAGCTTTTCAACATTTATGGATCACTAAAAGTGTCTGTGTATATAGTGTGTTACTTAGATCTGCTGTTGGCTGTATTTTTTTTTATCAGTTTCAGGGTTACCTCAGGCATAGAGCAGCATGGGGCTCTTAGATTGAATTGTGAAACTGACAAGAATGTCAGTGTCACAGCTGCTGCTCAGTTTCACAGCATGGAAGCCTACTAACTATACAAATTGACATTCTTGTCCCTTTCAGGGCTCTAGCTGTGAGCAGAATTGCTAATCCTTCCAATTTCACCAGGGCTGTGTCTACACTGGCATGATTTTGCGCAAAAGCATGCTGCCTGTCTACACTGGTGGGCTACGTCTACACTGGCCCCTTGATCGTAATAGGGAAATCCGCGGGGGATTTAAATATCCCCCGCGGCATTTAAATAAAAATGTCCGCCGCTTTTTTCCGGCTTTTAGAAAAGCCGGAAAAGAGCGTCTACACTGGCCCCGATCCTCCGGAAAAAGCGCCCTTTTCCGGAGGATCTTATTCCTACTTTGAAATAGCTTTTGCGCAAAAGGACTTTTGCCTGAACGGGAGCAGCATAGTATTTCTGGAAGAAGCACTGATTTCTTACATGAGAGCAGGAAAAGTTTTGCGGAAAAACTTGCCATTCTAGACACAGCCACTATGTTAGCTATGTGATTTGAGGTTTAAGAAAGGCTGCATTATCATTCCAGGGCTCTAGGCTGCCTGAATTGGTACTGCAGCAGTGGTGACAGCCAGAGCCCTGAGCCTTTTAAATTACCACTGGAACTCTGGGCTGTGCGTGTTGGGCAGTGCTAAGGGCTGGTAGGGGAGCACAGTGTGGACAGCATTTCTGCCCAAGGCCTCACCTCTTCTGGGACAGCAGAGCCAGACTCTCTTCCCATACCTTCCCAAGAGCCTGGCAATTCTGTCAGGCTCCCTGAGTGTAACCATTTAGATGGTAACACAAATAGGGCCCATAATATTAACTTTCTTCTGCCTCCCACCCTTGCTAAAAAAAAAATTCATCCCCCTTTCTTAGATAAAAATATTTCTGTCAAACAGAAATAACATTATATCATTTCTCATATTTGCCTAGCACATGATGCATAGAAATTATTTTGTATTTTTTAATTTAGTGCTATAGCAAAGATCGGATTTGAGAGTAGAATTTTTTAGGATACCCGTCATGGTAATTGTTAAGGCCCAACAGCCTTCTCAATGTCCTTTCAAAAACAGTGAAAGAGCTGTGTGAAGTATACAGATTCTTTAATTTTTACATATTAAACAGAGGCAGGAAAAATGCAAATATCAGTGAATTTCAGAGTGGATTTGATTGAAATCAAATTGATTTAATCATGGTTTTCTACATAAAAGTGCATTCTTGTTGGTTGTCATAACCTTAATACATATTCTTCACAACTCAGAGATAGATGTAGGTTTTATTTTTAGGAGGTTCACACTATACATTTTAAACAATTATTTATTTTGAAAACTTTTCAGATTAGTTTTACAGATATAATAGAAAATTAATGATTGTTTGGTTATTTCTTTTACCAAAGGTAATTGAAGCAGATATTTATGAAGTCATTAGGACGTGAACTAACTCCAATATAACAGGTTAATCATTAATATTTGGAGGATTTTCTTGCCGCCATGCTGTATTAGGAGGAGAACATCACCAGACAGATGTTTAAATAGTTTTATTTAACTAAAACAACAATGTTATGTATTCTGGGTTTTTTTCTTCAACAGCAACATATAATATTTTAAAAAAGCAAGCATATGAATTTAAAATCATGTTTGTTTTTGTTAAAATTTATTTGAAATAAAATAGTTAAATGAAATACACTTTTTAAAACAAAAATTAAATTGACTGTCAGCCAGGTCAACATGAGAAACTTAAAATATTGGCTTCTATTCAATGAACTTTTTGAAACTTTGCACTTTTAAAGAGAGTTAAAGGATTGACTCTGTGTATACAAATTTGCAGAGGGACAGAAGTGCTGAGGTCTGCTATTTCTCACCTCTGTATATTAGTTAGTTATTTTAAAACATTTTACTGTTATAAGCATATTAGCTCGGGAGGCATAAATCCACAGTTTGAGAACTGCAAAACTAAGAATCTTTCTGATGGTATCTTCTAGACTGAGCACTGAATCCCATTGGAGAGATAGAAAGGTTAACCTATATAATCTATATAGAAGCCTCTGAAACCCTATAACATTGGGTCCCTAATCCATGAAACTTCTGGAACTCATTTACAATTTTTTTCTTAAACATTACATGAATTACAATTATAATTTATAACCTCTATTCCATGATGAGATATCTTTGAGCTATGATGTATCTTTATTAAAACTATTTTTACATAGGTTTTTTCCTCAAAAAGCATTTTATCAAAAAATCTAATTTAAATTAAAAAATCCAATTTTAAAAAAATCATTGATTTTTATCCAGCCTGGTGAGTTTTCATGTCTTGTTTTTAAGGTA